TAGTAGATATTGTGTGTCAAAAATGCAGCTAAAGATTTACTTAACTCTGTTGGTCTCTCTTATAGATTGAACACATATCCAGCCTCATCAAGCTGTCAAAGGTAAGAACATCACTAGAAATCGGTGGTACATCTTAAGAGGGCAAAGGAATTGAGGTCAGATCCAGTTGCCCCAGGGAAATAAATGTAGGCTACTAAGTCTGACAGATCAGCTCCACAGCATTCACAGGCAAATACCACTCTTGGAAACTGAACTTTAACATAGACAGTCCCCAGCAGGCATCAGACTGGCTTCCTCTGCAGTGGACTTGTTACTAGCTGTAACCTCACCTTCCTTCATGTGGGTTTTACTCCTGGTGTTAGTGCTTGCTTTTTACTGGAGGCAGACTTTCCTCTGCTGTAGTAACAGCTCCTGTTGTGGCCAGCTGAGTTTTCCCTGCTGACCTGCATTTAATCCTGATGAGTGCACCCAGAGGAATCTTTCTTAGACCCCTAAAACACAGGATCCAGCTAATCCCTCTGCAGTTTCATTAGGGACGCCTGTGTCACACTGACTATTGCAATAACTGCTTTACAGATAATCCCAACCAGATTAAGTTTTAGGAAAAGCCACTGTAGGCCCAGCCTGTTGTATCCTAAAATGCTGTTGTCCCATGTTGGCATTAAGGCCAGAGGTGTGGAAGTATGCCAAGCTTTGCCCTTATGGTTGTTACGTCATCTGTCTTCCTTCTTTCTCTGTGCAGTCTTTCCCTAGGCTTGCCCTTGGTGTCTAACACAGCTTGAGTAAAAGCTGGACAGCAGTTTACCTGCAGAACCAGCACCCCCTCCTGCAGTGAGGCGTGGGCAGGGGGTCACCCTGCTACTGAGTGGCATAAATGAAGCTTGGCCAACACTTGACTAAATATTTGCTGAACCAAGTGAGAATGCTCCACATCCCCTATGAGTGTCTGGATGAGATGGCAGATGCATCCTCTTCTGTGTAGCAGGGGGCAAGACATCCTGGTCCTCTTGTCGTTAAAAGCTGCTGCTTAATTTTCTCTGTCATCTAAAGCATATGGTATTATCAAAGCAACATGCAAAGAGAGACCTGTCCTGACACCATGTTCAGGGATAAAATAGGTGGTATTAGGTAGTGCTTATATGCCACCAGGGCTGTTGAGTGTGGCGTAGTGAAATTCACATTTATTTTATATAGTTTGGGGAGACTTTTAATGTTTCTGCTTCAATTTCAGGCTGAGGTAGAAAGGAAGCTGTCACAAATGATCTTGGACAAGAAATTTCATGGTGAGTCTGCATTCTTCAGTCCTGACTGCCTCACTGCCCACAGCCAGGCTGTGTGTAAGCCAGCTGAGGATAGACTCCTCCTTATCACTGCACCTCTGAGGCCCATGTGTCTTCCTCAGGCAGCTCTGCTCTGCTTCAGATGGGGGACATGCAAGTTAACTGTGGGAAGAGTAGAGAGTGGTGGGTTTATCTGTTACTCTTATCATGAAGGCTGCTCCTATCACTCTATGGGTTTGTTGAGCTCGAGACTTACCAGAAATGCCTCTGCTTATGTTTGCACTGTCCCTAGTGTCAGTTTAGTAACCCCTCTGGCTCTGGCTAAGCAAGACCTGTGGCTGAAGGAAGCACATTGGTTAGCGAGCAGGTTGAGAATTGTGGAATTCAGCCGTGGGGCCCATCTGGCACCTGGAAATAGTGTAATTATCAAAGGTAATAGGTCTTATCAAAGGTCTGAGCCAACCTCTGGGCACAGGTACGGTGGCTGTTGGGGAATGTGCAGGCACAAGGCAGAAGCATTTCCTGTGTGTCTTGTCATGCTCCTCTCTGGGATGATTTCATTTCTCTGGGGAAGCTGCAGCTAATGCAGTGCAGCCAAAACCCAGCCAGGGCTGTTGGCTGGGCAGATCCCTGCGTTCCTGCTGTGTGGAAGCTGTGATGCATGGGGATAACTGCAGCGTTGTGCCTGCAGGCATCCTTGACCAAGGCGAGGGAGTCCTCATCATCTTTGACGAACCCCCTGTAGACAAAACGTACGAAGCTGCCCTCGAGACTATTCAGAACATGAGTAAAGTAGTGGATTCGCTCTACAACAAAGCCAAGAAGCTAACATAGGTGAGTGGGGGCAGAGCTGCATCCTCGAGCCTCGCTGCATGTCCTCTGCATTGACATGGCTCTGTTTTCTCTTTGCAGAGCTGAATTTGCTGTCATGTGGAGCGTGTGTGTGACAGGAGAGTGAAACCTTTGGGAAATGTTAGGAGACTTGGATTTATTTTTTTTTCCTTTTTTTCTTTTTTTTTTTTTTTTCTTTTTGTTCTACTTTTCGCTTGGAAAGTTTTTAAACTTCCTCATCCAGTGCATCCTGTATCCATATGATGCGTGTTCCAGTTCCCATGTAATCTTTACTGGCCGAACTTTGTATCTGGGGGGGGAATATTGTTTAAACAAAGAGGGTATTCTAAATAAAAGGAAAAAGGCTTACACTACCTAAACATGTGCTTTCCACTTCCTGAGGGATGGCAGAGAGTTAAGCAGGGACAAAGTTTTGTTACCAGTAGGTGCCCAAAACAAGTTTGTTTCATCTCTCCCTCTCTCTGCTCTCAAAGTTGAGACTTGCAGTGTGTAACAGCCAAGTTGATTCCATTTGTACTGAACCAAAAAAGACCCAAAATGTACAGACTGGTGGTTTGTTTTTGAATCCTGAAGGCCTCCGATCCCCTCAAAAGCAGCTCTGCAGGGATGTGCCCAATGGCTTCTGTGCCCAAGGACTGTGCTGTGGAGCTGCTGCTGTGCTGCGCCAGCCCCAGCCCTCTCCAGACACCAAGGCTGGGTTGTGCTGCAGGAGCCAGCGCTCCTCCCTGAGGCCTGGTTTGCATGCTCCTGTTTAGACTAGACTAGAGTGTCCGTGTTTATCCTTCACCCCACCTGCACTGGTAGGAAGAGCAGGAGCACAGCGTTCCCAAGGCTTCCTCTCCCTCCAGGAGCCAGACCCTGGTACCCATCAGCCTCCCATTGTACCTCTGCTGCTGCTGGGGCTCTTACGTTCCCAACAGCCGATGGGAGACAAGTTGGAATGTCCCAGAGCAGCGCCCATGAGGAGCCAGGGTCGGGAGGTGGGGTGGAGCAGGGCGTTCTGCAGCATGTGACACTGTCCAGTGAGGTTTGAGCTGGGTTCAATGCCATTTGGGCAGTGTAAGCTTCCACGGCTCTGCCCTGCTCATCTCCCATCTCCCTCCCACTGTCCCTCTCCACGTTTTTCTTACAAGCCCCCTGTTTTGTACAAGGGTTCTGTCCTGGCAGGAGCTGTTTTGCCTTCACTCTTTAGACTGGCTGATTCTTTTTATGCTTTTCTGTTCACATTTTAACCTCTCTGTCATCTCATTTTATGATTTTATTCTGTGTTTCATTTCCATCTCATCCCGTCGGTCGCTGTTTGGGTTTTTGGCACCATCAATATCAAATGTACAAACGGTTCTTGCTAACCAGCACCAGGTATATCTGATGTTCAGATGAGTTCCAATAAAATACGTTTTTTTTCAAGCTTCTGTCTCCTGTCTTCAGCGGAGGCAGGAAAGGGGCCCCTTCCGTGCTGATCCCTCTGCATGTAGGGAAGGGCATGGGAACCAGGCTGGAGCTCACGGGGACAGCATCTGGGGATGGTGTTTGAGACGTGGTATGTGAGGGACCGTGTTTTAAGCAGCACATTCATGGGCTGGGACCTCTTCCTGGCACAGCAAGTACAGTTACAGGATTAAGGTGTATTATTATAAATGAAGTTATGAATTATTATTATTATTATAGCTTTGTGGTATGATTGACACAGTGGAGGCAAGGCTGGGATGCAGAGGGACCTGGACAAGCTGGAGTGGTGGGACCGTATGAATCTCATGGGGTTCAACAAGGCCAAGTGCAAGGTCTGAATTTGGGATGGGAGGAGAAGATGGATCAGGGACTCCCCTGGTTGTCACTGCATGGCTCTGAGTGCCTGGCCTGGCTCAGCAGCAGCCCTGGTAGAAGCAGCAGTTTCTGCAGAGCTTGGGCCCAATTTGAGGTTTTCTTTACTAAACCCCAAGTTCATGGTGGGCTGGGCCCACCGGTGCCTCTGGGGACACCCCTTACCCCGGGGGGCTGCGGTTGTGGCTGGAGGAAATGGGAGGTTTGGGGGTTTTGAAGCCTTTGCTCCGTGGGGAGGGGACCGGCGGCTGCGCGTTAGCGGCGTCAGTGGCTTCCGTGCAGGGAGGGGTTACAGACGGGCCCGGTTTCGGCCGAGCCCCGAGCAGGCGGGGTCCGGGTGAGGCTTTGCCCCGTTCCGTTGCCGCTGCAGCAGCACTGGCCCCGCTCCTCCCGCCGCGGCGGGTGCTGAAGCCCTGCGGCCTCCAGCGGCTGCACTGCGCCCGGGCCAGAGAGGTCTCGGGGGGTCGCTGCGGGGGCTCCGGTGCTGCCGAGCGGGAGCGGGGCTGAGCTGCGGCCCTCGGGGCCCGGCGGCGCTTTCCCTGAACCCGGTCCCAGCCTTTGAAACGCCGCAGCGGAGGCGGCGGTGCGGGCGCTGGGCCCCGGCCAGAGCTGGGGCGGGCACGGGCGCTGCCGCGCGGGGGTTTCAGGTTTTATTTCCGGTTTTGTGTGAATCCTTCGCTGTTTTTTCATCATTTCCCCCGGGCCGGGCCCGCACCGGCGGCACCGGGAGGGCTCCTCCCGGCTGGGACCCGGCACCGGACCGCGGGGCCGCCCGGGGGGCGGGGCCTGTGCCTCTTGGGCGGGGCCATTTCCATTTAGGGATGCGCTTGGGGCGTGGTCTGGGGGTGGGACTGCCGCCGTTCAGTGCGGAGAGCCGGGGGGGGCGTGGCCTGCGGGGCGTGCGGATGGGACTTGCCCGCCCCTTCCCCGCCGGCGCGGCGGGCGCACGTGGCGGCGCGGGGCGGGACGGCGGGGGCGCGCACTGCGCCGGCAGGAGCGCGCGCGGAGGGGCGGGGCGAGGCGCTGAGCGGCGGCGGCGGAGCGGGCAGCGCGCGCGGGGCCGCGACGGGGCCGGGGCCGGGGCCGGGGCCGGGGCGGGCGGCGGGGCCCGCCGGGCGGCCGGCGCCATGGGCACGGTGCTATCGCTGTCGCCGAGCTACCGGAAGGCCCCGCTGTTCGAGGAGGGGGCGGCCACGGTGGGGCACTACACGGCGGTGCAGAACAGCAAGAACGCGAAGGAGAAGGGCCTGAAGCGGCATTCCCTGATCTCCGTGCTGCCGTGGAAGCGCATCGCCGCCGTCTCCGCCAAGAAGAAGAGCTCCAAGAAGGTGCAGCCCAACGGCGGCTACCAGAGCAACGTGACCCACCTCAACAACGAGAACCTGAAGAAGTCGCTCTCCTGCGCCAACCTCGCCACCTTCGCCCCCCCGCCGCCCCCCGCCGCCGCCGCCGCCGCCCTCGCCTCGGCGCAAAAGGCTCCGCCAACCGCGCCCGCCGCCGCCGCCGCCACCCCGCGCCGGGTCGTGGTGCAGGCGTCCACCAGCGAGCTGCTGCGCTGCCTCGGCGAGTTCCTCTGCCGCCGCTGCTACCGGCTGAAGCACCTCTCTCCCACTGACCCCGTGCTGTGGCTGCGCTCCGTGGACCGCTCGCTGCTGCTGCAGGGATGGCAGGACCAGGGCTTCATCACGCCGGCCAACGTGGTCTTCCTCTACATGCTCTGCCGGGATGTCATCTCTGCCGAGGTGGGCAGCGACCACGAACTGCAGGCGGTGCTGCTCACCTGCCTGTACCTGTCCTACTCCTACATGGGCAACGAGATCTCCTACCCGCTGAAGCCCTTCCTGGTGGAGAGCTGTAAGGAGGCCTTCTGGGACCGCTGCCTCTCCATCATCGACCTCATGAGCCCCAAGATGCTGCAGGTCAACGCCGACCCGCACTTCTTCACCCAGGTCTTCGCCGACCTCAAGAAGGAGAGCGGCTCCGAGGAGAAGGGCCGGCTCCTCATCGGCCTCGACCGGTGAGCGCCCGCCCGGGCCCTGGCCCCGCTCCCCGGGGCTTGTCCCGGCGGGATGGAGGGGGGCGGCGGGAACTGCCGCCGCTTCATGGGCCCGACCCTGGGTTGGGGGGAGCGGGAGACTCCGCAGCCTCCGCCAAGTGTCGCCCCTTTCTCCATCCCGCTGATTGAGGGGGGAACCCCCCCACCGACACCCCCACTTTTCCCCCCGGGGCTGGCGGAGCGGAGCGGGGCTCCGGCGGCCGCATCCCCAAGACAAAGACCCGGGAGGGGGAAACGAGGGAAAAAAAAGGAGAAAAAAGGAAAACAAAAATAATAATTAAAAAAAGGAAATTGCTCTAAAGGCTCCGCCGGAGGCTGACGGGGCCGAGCGGGACTCCCGGGAACGGGACAGCGGCGGGCCCGGCCCCCCCTCCCCCTATTTATTTTCTTTGAAGAGACTCGAAATTCCCGAGCAGGGCCGGGGGGAATCACCGCAACTGTTCCGTGAGCTCAATGTGAACCGTCTCGTCCCCATCGTGCACTGATCATGAGTATTGTGCTAAGGATCTACTTGAGTGTGCAAGGAGAGAGCCACATGCTGCTACCCGAGGTACTTTCACAACAAAAAACCCAACAAACTACTAACCTGCGGGGAGGGGACACATGAAAAAACACCCCCCTTCTTTATTCTTTCATTGTTGCTTTGCCAGTGGTATTGCGCATGCGAACAGGAGCATTTTGTGTCTTAAAAAAAAAAAAAAAAGAAAAAAAACACAAAAAGGAAAAAAAAACACATTAAAAATAATAATAATCAGAAGAAAAGCCCTTCCTGAGCGATGGCTGTAACCAACCCCAGGCACAAAGCACAGCCCCGTGCTGCTGCTCCCCGATGGGGACTGACAACTCCTTTTGGGTTTGATTTTCCTTTTCTTCTCCATCTGCACCCGTCTTGTTCTGTTCTGCTCCATGGGGCGCTGCAGTGGCAAGCGAGCAGGAGCAGCACCGTGCCATCTCTTTGACTCCTCACTCAAAGCTCTCCATCGCTGTACAGTGGGACCCCGCTAATGATACATGTGTACGTCCAGGTTGTTTTATTTTAGTGCAATCTCTTCTGTAGCTCTTTGTTGACCAAATTGGTGGGTTCTTGTTACTTCTTAATTTATATTTGTCTCATTTCGTATGTGTGTGTATAGTGCGTTTGTACGTATGTGTGGTTTATAACCTGACCGCCTGTGTCATGGGGCTCAGTGTGCCTGTAATTTAATCCCCTCCCCTTATTTTTATTTATTTTTGTACTGTGCTGATTAAATAAAAATGCACTGACCATCCATTACACGACAGCGCGTCGTAGCCGAGTCGTTCCTGCAGTGCTCAGCTCCAGCGCACCACTGCTGGCGGGGGGAATGGGATTTGTGGTGATGGAAGTGGGATTTAAGGCTGGTTTTAACACGGGTTTTATCGTGTTCTTGGTGCTGGGGTCACCCCTTGGCTGGGGGCTGCTGGAGGTGCAGGTGAGGAGGTGCCTTCAGCACACCAGAGGGGAACAGTCAGGTTATCAGGACACCAAAACTCCACTTCCCATTGTGCAGCCGAGCTGCCGCGACACTGGCAGCGCCAGAGCGGGATGCAGCTCATGGGGCTGCTTTATTTATTACAGCAAATGATGTAAAAAGAGCCTGAGGTCCATGAGGTTTGTTTTTTTTCTGTTTTTTTCTCTTTTACACATTAAAACATCAATTAAAAAAAAGGGTTCATTGCATCATCACCCCCGGCTGCAAATCAAAGTTCAATTTGGACATAGTAATTTATGGGAAAACCCAGGAATAGATATATTTTATATATATTTTATATATATATATAAAACCAGAGCAGGAACAGATACTGTATTTTATAAAGACACATTTCATCACATACAATATTGCCATCTCATAGTCTTAGGAATCTCCCAACCCTGTGATATCTTGCTGTCCATCATGATCTGATGCAACCACTTCTTTGGAGGGACAGCAACTAAAAGTGCTGATTAAAACTCCTGCCCCTACCTTGCCTCGGGTTAGAGTTGCTGAGGGGGGACATGGGGACTGGTAGATGTAAAAAGCAAGAAGTGCAAATAGAAAGGCACAGCAATGGTGAGGGTTTTCCTCCAGGTGCTTCTCCAGGGGGATGCAAACAGGAGCTGTGGTGGCCAAATGGGAGCTGGAGTGGCCAAACTGGAGCTGGGGTCACCCATGGCTTCAGTGTTGGCATTGCTGCTCCTGAAGGGCTGATGGGGTTATATGAGGAGGTGGAGGGACCTCGATGGTGCTCCGTGCTCGTGTGCAGGGTGAGGTCTGGGGCTGCTGCATGGGTTTGTTGTCAGCTCCAGGTTCCTGATGTCCCCAGTGGTGGTGGGTGAGTTGTGTTTGCAGCATCTGGAAGAGCTTCTCAAGGGCTTTGGGCAGACCCAATGCGCAGAGCCCTCTGGAGCAGGAGCCATCCCAGAGCTGGTTACTGGTGCCTGGGACGCGGTGCTGGGATACTGTTGGGGGCCTGGTCTAAGGCCAGGGGTCCTGTCAACCACAGGGCTCCAGCATGGGGCCTCCCTGCTGAAGAGCACTGGGAGGCTTTAAGCTTGTCCCACTTAAATCCAGAGCTGGAGCATCTCTGCACTCAAGGTACCCCTTAACCTTGGGTCTGGGTGGTTGTGGTGTGGTACAAATGCTGCAGCCCACGTCCATGGCATGGCTTTGGGAAGCCATCCATTAACAGGTCTTTGGGTGAAAAGCCTCTTCCAGCCTCTTTGCAGCTCGCTGTTTGCCTGCTGGGTCACAACACAGACCCCCTGTGTCCAATGGGCTGGAAATCCTGACCTGACCAGCAGTGCCAGGACTCTGAATGTCCAATCCCAACATCCCCTCAATGGCACAAGGCCACCTCTGCTCCAAAGCCCCAGAGCAGCAGCAGCCTGAGACATGGTGGGAATCAAAAGCCCGTCAGAACACACATAAACACCAGGCTCAGGGTTATCTGAGCCGGGCAGACATGAGCACCATGAGGCAGGGAAACGTGATGCCACCAGACAAGCCAAGGTGAGGCACGGACTCCCCAACATCAACCCCTAAGCTGGGAACACCCAGGGAAACACTTGGAAGGGTCCAGCCTGGGTATTTGTAGCTGGGGTTGTGCTGCTGCCCCTCACCTGGTGCGGACGGATGTGCCGGAGTTGGTGTTCAATAGTGCAAAGGAAGGGAGCTGCAGCTTCAGCCCCCTGAGCTCCATGTGTTTCCAGACTAACCCACCTGCAGTGGGTCCTTTCAGCCCTCCCTGAACCTCAGTGCTGGGCCTAACACAAAGCCACGTGGAGCATCCCAAATTCAGCAAGGCCACTTTGGTCCTAATGGGAATTCACTGGATTTTAGGTCCCTGGAGAGGGCAATTAAGGCAAAAGCAATGCAGGACTAAAATAAATCAAACCTCTGCACTGTGAATCCCACTCTCCTTTCTGCTGGTGGACCTTGATCCAAGGGTTAGTGAACTCCAGGCAGGAAAGCAGCAAGCCAAGGGGTGTATCTCCATGTACTATCCTAACTTCATGCATGTGGCAGGGCTGGAAGAGTGTGGAGCATCTCCTTGGCATGGGAAGCCAGCCCTCCTTTAAAACCTGGCTCCGGTTCCACTGGGATTTGGTCTCACAGAACCAGACTCCCTGAGCCGGTTTATCTTTGGTTCCTACAGTAAAGGCTGCATAATATTGCAAAACAGGACACACAAAAGAGAACACAGAAGGGAATATTGGAGAGGGTTTAGGAAATCAGTGTGGGAAAGGGTGTAAGTACCTATAAATGCTTTTTTTGGGAGTAATTCAGAAGCACTTTCCTGACATTCTGCCCTGTTTCAGAAGATGGATAACAGGTCACTGGCTATTTTAAGCCTTTGTTGCATGGTAATAAAACCCTCTCCTGACTTTGGGTTTGCAGCTTTAGAGCTCAAGCCACAGCTGAGCATCTCTACATGAGACCCCTTGAAAAGTCCAAGGCCAGGGAAGGGCACTGGAAGCCCCAGCCTGTGTCCCCTGCTCCTGGCTTGCTGCGCCAGGCGGAGGGGGATGCTAATTCCCTGGCACGCAGAGGATGAAGCCGGAACGATGCTTGGTGAAATCCGGTTGGGATTGGTTGATCTTGGTTTCCACAGAGACGGTGCATTTCCGCCCGTGCAGGCTGCACTGCACTGGGTTGGTGACACTGACTTGCAGAGCGCGCTTCTCACTGCAACGCAAGAGGAGACAGAGGAGTCAGGGAGAGACGGGATGTGCCGGGATCCCAGAAGGGAGGGGATGTGCCCAGGACAAGGCAGGGAGAGGGGTTTTGTGTCAGGGATGCATCCTGCAGCAAGTTGAGAGTGCTGTCTTTAGCCAAGGTTCAGCTCTAAGCCCAGCTTTCAGGCTTGTTTGAGCATGTGGAAGACTCCCAGGAAGGGAAATGAGCCCCCCAGGGACTTTGGCATCGGGATCAGAGCTGATGGGGGAATATCACTTCCTGGGAAGACTAAAGGCTGGGTTGCAAAAGGCCCGGAGTCTGCTGCCAGCTCAGGCACCCGCAGTGGAATGACCTAGTGAGCAGTCACTCCTACCTCTATAGTGACAATAATGACAATGTCATCCCTTGATCTGAGCTGAGAGAATAGAAATACAGCATGAAACAGCTGAAAGAATCACAGGAAGGGTTGGTTTGGGTTTTAATTCCTCCTCCAGACAGACAGACCATGAAGCCTCATGGGGTCAGAGCAGCACTGAACAGCAGCACTGGGACAAAACTGTGTCATCAGGAGCCATTCCCCAGGTTTTTAACCCTTTAACCCAGCTTTGGTACTAAAAATTATTCCCTTTGCAAAATCCCTCCTCACCTGCACTGCCAGTTCCTGGATTTCCAGTATTTCTTAGTATAATAATGAGTGGTATTTTCACTGCTGAAGCACAAGCCCCTCATGCAGCTCAGGTTTAGTTGCTATTTCATTAACAGTGTTCAAGACATGCTGCCTCCCATAAGCCACGGGTTTATGCAGCTTCAAAGTAATTAAGAAGATGTTCATTGCTTCCATAAAAATGAATGGTTGGCTGGAAGGGTGCTAGGAGGGCATAGCACACAAAGCCCTCACGTTGTCTCAGGTATTTAAGGCTTATTTACTCTTGCCTCAGTGAGTTGAGGCTCCAATCCCTGCTTAGTTTGCTATTTTTACCTTGTCTTGGCAAGAACGAGCTGCATACGTGGAGGAGCTTTTCGGAGATTCCTGACAACCTGTGCTTGGATAGCAGGTTTAGCTTCAAGTGTCTATAACAAGGATAAGTGCCAATGACTTGGCTCCTCCTCTCCCACAGCCCTCATCAAACAACAGGTAAGAAGCTAGAGGATCAGTAGTTAATAGTCAAACTCTGTTGACTCTTTTGCTCAGTGATAAGCAGCCCAAGCCAAGGGAGTGGAACGTCATTAACCTGGATTTTGACCGCAGGCTGGTGTGGGAAGCAGAAAGTCCTTGATGCATTTTGAGTCTTGTGGCTGTGGGACCTTCAGCAAGAAGCTGAATCTTTCCCAGCTCCTGTTGAGAGAGGAGCCTCAAGCTAACACTGTCCTAGGATGGTGGCCTCTGGAGAAGATGCTCTGATCTTCGCCCCGTGTAACATTTTCATTCATTAAGGGCTTCACTTCCCACACTGTTTTCCAGGTCCCACCATGACAGTTCTCATTCACTCCAGGTCATGGGTTCCTTTTCTTCATGTGAGAAGAGGTTTCAGCCTCAAAACCTTTTGCTGGGGGAGAAGCTCTTGAATGGCATCCAAAGAGCAATCCATATAGGGGTTTGCACATCCACATGGGGATTAAAATCCCATCCTTGGTCTTCCCTGTGAGGCAATGCAACACTGAGCCCTGCCACCAGCCCCATGAGTAGCCTGACCTGCTGGGACCTTGAACCTCCTGGGTGCTGCTCCTCTGCTTGGTCAGTCTCCAGCCAGGAAGAGGTTGGAGGAAATGTCAGTTTGGTTTCCAGTCCATCAGTCACATCAGCATCACACCTGATGGTGCAGCAGCAAAAAGGGGAGCCAGCTGCTGGCTGCCCTGGAGTAAGATGGTTTATTTATTGACTGAAAGGGAGAAAACAGCTGCCAACATCAGCCAGTAAAACAGACCAAGAGACATTCCAAATCTCACTGCTACAAGGAGGCTCTGCCAGGGACGAAACACCAACCCCCAGTATCCAGGAGTGAAATGTAAAGGGAAAAGAGAGCTTTCGTAGGAAGTCAGGGTCTACCCCAGCACTGCTCCAGTCCTGCCAGGGAACCACAGGATAATTTCTGTATATAATAAAC